CTCCCAGTATAATCCTCTCTTACCCCTCAATTTTATTCTCCAGATATCACCCTACATCTTCAATTCACCCTGTGTGCTCTGTCTATCCATCCATCTATCTATCTATACGTACATATAATTTTTCCCTCCAATTACTCTAATACTGACAAAGGTTGTATAAGACATTATTGCTAGCAACTTTTTGTTTTCAAATTAGCTCCATAAAAAAATCCGAGAATCACAAAACCCTTCAGTTGTTATGAAATTTGGAGATATCTTCATTCAACCAACTCCTATTATGGGTGAGGAAACTGAGACCCAAAAAGAATAAATACTTAATGAATTCCGATGGCTCTCTGTAGCCTCTAGTATCAAATATGAACTCTTGTTGAACTTTAAACAACCCTCATAAACAGACCCCAACCTACCTTTCTGACCTTATATTATTACCCTTCCTATATACTGTAGTCCAGCCAAACCGACTTTCTTGCTGTCTTACACATGATACTTCATCTTCCTTTACACCTTTGTCTTGACTATTCCCTGTGCCTTGAATGCACTCGAATCACTTATTTCCTTCAAATCAATGTTCAAATAACATTTTTTAGAGCAAATCTTGCCAGGTCCTCCCTCTAGATGCTGGAGCCCTCTTCCCCCTAAAATTATCTTATTATGTATGAATGTATATACACATATATTATATATTTATATACACCTGTGTAAAAATACACTTATCTTATGTACATCTGTCTTATGAGCTTCAGTTCTATATTTCCGACTAGATATTTCAGATATGATGTCCTGTAGACATCTTAAACTCAACTTGTCCAAAACTGAACTTATTTTCTTTCTCCACAAACGCTTTCCTCTTCCAAACTTCCGTATTTCTGTTGAAAGTACCACCATCCTTCCAGTTTCCAAGTTTTGTGATGTTAGCATTATCCTTAACTTCTCACTTTCCCTCACTCCACACATCTAATTATTTGACAAGCTTGCTATTTCTATCTTCACAACATTGTACCCCTTCTCTCTACTCATACAGCTATCACCTCAGTTCAAGCTCTTATCACCTCTCACCTAGATTATTGCAGCAACTTCCCTCCTTCAAGTCTCTCACAACTCCAATCCACTGTATACATTGCTGCCAAAGTAATTTTCCTTAAACACAGAGCTAATGGTGTGACTCATCTACTTTGTTTACCCCTAGTGACTTTCTGTTGCCTCTAGAGATTGACTATAAACTTTTCTGTTTAGCTTTTAGAGCTTTTCACAACCTGGGCCCAACCTCTTGCCAACTCATTATACATTACTTCCCCTCTAGCATTCTGCACTCCAGTTAAACTGGCCCCTCTGTTCCCCACACACTAAATTCTGTCTTTTATCTTCATGCCTTATTACTTTGTCCTTCATGGCTGAAATGCAGTGTGTTACCTCTTTTACATAGAGTTTCTCTCTTCTTTTAAAATGGAGCCAAGTGCTACATTCTACATGAAGCTTTTCTTTATTCCCACAGTTGCTAGTACCCTCACTCCCAAATTACCTTGTATTTACTTTGTATTTATTCACTTTGTATTTCTGTTATATATATATTTTAATATGTCCTCATTGTTTTATACATTGTCATGTAAGTTCTTTGTGAATAAGGATTGTTGCATTCTTTTTACTTGTATCCCCAATGCTAATCCCTACCACATTGCTTGGCATATAGTAGGCATTTAATGAATACTTGTTGGTTTATTGTTTGATTAGGTATTATCATTTATATTATCTGAAGATAATACTTATGATTGTTATTATTATTATTATCATTATTAATCTGTAAGTGAAGAAACAAGTTATTTTGAGTGTACCAGAAAAGGAATGTTGTGTTGTGGGAGGTAGGGGTTCATTTCCCACATAATGCAAATATGGTACTAGTCAGAATGGTGAGATAGTTCTATTATATCAGCCTTTTTCTTCCTTCTCTTTCCCTTATTTCTCTCCTTTCTTACATATTAGGCATAAGGAGGACTTGGAAAGGGGTCACAGAAAAATGACCCGAAAAGGAAAAGAATTTGTTTTTTTAGAAAAACCTCACTAATTTGTGATAATTCACATTTAGATTAAGCTTTTCCTTTGTACATTTACATGAGAGAACTTATTAATCAAAAATAGAAATTATTTGAAAAACATTAGTTAAAAGTATTTTTTAAAAGCCTAATACTGAATGTCACATGTCTTAGAACTATATTCTCTATCTACCAGGCTTTGGACTGCTGTTGTTTAGGGTCAAATTGAAAATTTTTACTACCATAGGTCCTTTTAAAACTGATTTCTTCTTCAAGCCCTCCATCCCCACTTTCCCAAAGTCTGCAATAATGGAATATTACATAGAGCAGTGAAGGATGGAGATACATACATATATACATATACACACACACACGCATGCACACAATTTTTAGAATGATTATTTACTTACAATTGGTTTTACTGTTTCCATGAGGAGAGTACAACTAGCTAGATACAAGAAAACTTCTGAAAGTTTAATTTATGAAAATTCAAATATACCTTCTTTAGAAATCTTTAGAAATAGGTTTGACATTCATACTTCTATTGCTTTGGGGTACTTCTGTCTGATTCTTGTTTGATGATTTCTTTAGGTTTCCTGTTCAATCAATAAACAGAGTATTTATGGGATTATAATGCAGTAAATGAAACAATTCTTGCGTGATGTGTGGCAGCAAGCTAAGGGGAAAGTTGAGTTAAGGAAGCTCAAAGATAGAGGCTTGAGAGCACAAGGTCGCAGTGGAGGTGATATAATATTGGAGGTTGGAGAATAGACAGTGTGGTGAAGAGCTGCCTGGGAAATGGTGTGGAAGCCTAGCAAGTTAACATGAAAGTTTATGCATAAATAAGCCCTTATTTTGAATGTAATAAAACTAGACAGTGGTAACATAGATTGTTCAGTATCAAAGCAGCAAATTACTTTGCTTATTACATCTGTAGCTTATGCTGTCAGTTCTAATCCAAATTCCTACTCCCACTTTAAGTTGGATCCCCAGAACTTGGCTGCTAGGTCTCCTTGGGATTTTGGGAATACTCTTGAAGGATTGGAAATGTTTTTCTAATGCTCTAGCTTACAAGCCCCTACCAGTAAACTTCCCACCATAATCATTAAGAAGCAATTTAGTCTACCGCTACTAGGTCTGTATCCCAAAGAGATCATATGTACTAAAATATTTATAGCAGCTCTTTTTGTGATGGCAAAGAATTGGAAATTTTGGGGATGCCACAGATTGGGGAATGGCTGAACAGGTTGCGGTATATGAATTTATTGGAATACTGTTGTGCAGTAAGAAATGATGAGTGTGGGTGGATTTCAGAAAAACCTGGAAAGATTTAACATGAATTGATGCTGAGTGAAATGAGAAGAACCAGGAGAATATTATATACAGCAACAGCAACCTTGTGCAATGATCAACTATGATAGACTTAGCTCTTCTCAGCAATATGATGATCTTAGACAATTCTAAAAGACTCGTGATGGAAAATGCTGTCTACATCCAGAGAAAGAACTATGGAGTCTGAATGCAGATCAAAGCGTGCTATTTTCACTTTCTGCTTTTTTTTCTTCTCATGGTTTTTTCCTTTTGTTTTGATTTTTCTTTGACAAAATAACTAATGTGGAAATATATTTAACATGATTGTACATGTGTAACCTATATCAGATTGTTTGCTATGTTTGGGATGGGGGAGGGAAGGGAGAAAGGGAGGGAGAAAAATTTGAAACTCAAAATCTTACAAAAAATGAATGTTAAAAACTATCTTTATATGTGATTGGAAAAAATAAAATACTATTAAATGTGAAAAAAGAAAAGAAAAAAGGGGAGAAAAAGAATCAGTTTAGTCAGCCAACCTTTAGTAGTTTTTAGAAAGAAGTATTTACTGAAGTGGTACAGTTGGAACAGTTTGTACAAAATAGCCCCCACCCCAACCCTGGCACACTGTATTATCAGTACATATAGAAACAAGAGAAAAGTGAGCCCAATCTTAGAGAATACACGCAGAAAAGTAATAATTCACAGCTCTTGGTTGCTGGGAGTTCTTTTCTCCCCTTTATGAGGTGTTCAATAAGTTCCTTTAGAGGTGATGTAATGTCTTTGCTGTATTCTTTGTGGAGATGTGAATCTGTATTCATCTTATCTTTTACTCCTGATGAAGTTATAGTTAATTGTCAGTGCTGCTAGAATGTGGATGGGAAGATGGGAAGACCTCTAGACCTCTGAAGTTCGTGAGGTGCTTCTCTTTTCGTTGGGGAAGGGAAAGGATATTAAGGCAAGGCAAAAGTACTCTTTTCCCCACAAATGACTTGGGGTGGCAGGGTGGGGTGGAGAGTTACCTGGAATGCTATCTCCACGTTTTCCATTCGTTGGAATCTCTATTTCCACCAGATGCTAGAATAACTTGGGTTCTGAACTGGTCTTCAAATTCTTAGACCATTCACAAGGCATGATCAACTTTCCTTAGCAAATCAATCAAAAACTAGTAATGTTCAAAAGAAGAGTATGCAGGTTGTTTGGTTGAGACTTTCTCTCATCTCACTAAAGTATCAGAGCATCTTAACATTTACTTTAAGTGGAATGGGTGACTTAATTTATTCAACCAGCCCCATTCTTACACATATTTAAAAATTTTATTTGATTACTTTTAATCTAATAGACCCATTCCAACAAATAACCTCCATTCTACCCCAAAGTATGTTTCCTACAAGAAGTAAGCAAAACTACTTAAAAAATGGTTGCAACTGATGGTACATGTCACTTTCTATTTGGGAGGCATAATATTTGTTAACAAAAAGGATGTGTCCTTTAACTTGAATAAACTGGTTTCTAGTTCTGTTTTTTTTTTTTAAGTTTTATGTGACCCTAGCAATTTGGAAAATTACTAAAAGTAGAATTAGAATTTAGGTTTCCTAATTAATGTTCTTACTAAGCTTACAGATGTTCATTCTATTGCTAAAATACTTTGGTTTTGTTTCATAGATATGGAAGTAATGAAGCCTTTGATAGATGAACAAAATTTAGATGGTACATCTGATGAGGAGCATGAACATGAACTATTGCCTGTTCAGAAGCATTACCAAATTGATAGTCAAGATGGCATTTCGTAAGTATAGTATTTTAAAGACCTTTCTTTGTATTTTACTTACTCTTATTTTTATACTTTTAAACTGATTTGGAGAATTCTTTAAATAGAATTAATGATTGAGCAAATCATAGCAGTTAAATTAATTTTGGGAAGGTGATTAAAATATCTTAAAATCAGCTGTAAATTGTACTATTTTTATTAATAAATTTGGTTTTGCCACATCAGACAAGCCTACAAAGCACACAAAAATGATCAAAACATATTTCCTGAAAACATTTTAGCAAAATAGCATAAAGAAGTGAATTTGACTTATGTAGTCTTACACTTTAATAATTTACTTTTTGTTAAAAGAAAGGTGTGCTTTAACTTTAATAAGGTTGTACTGAGTCCATTTTAGCTGACCCACAGTAGTTTTGTTTTCAGTTTAATGTTGTCCTCTTCTATATAGATGTAATTGGTGTGTAAATTTTTTGGATCTCTTTTTTCACTCTGCATTGCTTCATGAGTCCCACATTTCTTTGGATTTTTCAATTCTTTGTGCTCACCATTCTTTACATGCCACAATTTAAGTCACTAACCCAGTCTTTTTTCTAACTTTTTTTTACAAATTACTTAAACTGTACAGTTATTTTTTTAAAAATCATTGTTGCTAAAAGTTTTAATTTCTGTGATTTTCCTAATGCTTGGTAATATTTATCCTTTCTTGGTTAAGAGAATAAACTGTCTTTTTAACTGGTATCCCCTGTCATTCTTTCACATAGGTCATACCTTCTCTGTTATCCTCCCATTACACTGATCCTGGAGAGTTGGAACATTCCTTATCATTGCCACTTCCAGACTCTCACTTTGCCTCCATCACTTAGCATCCTCTCCTTCTTTCCTCACTCTTTCATCACATACAGTTCATGGTGGCTGCTGTCTACTCCAGGTCCCTGGTTATTCTCAAATAGCATTCCCTGTCCCCTCTCCCCCTTCTTAAGGAGTTTAGTACTTGAGTCATAGTCTTTCTCTCCTCTTAGGGAACTTCAGCATTCACACTGAGGCTTCTTTAAACCCCCTAGCATCTCACTTCTTGAGTCTTCTCAGTTCCCATTAACTACTCCTTCACTCCACCTTAGCCACACATAGGGATTGTCATACCCTGAATTTAATCTGTATTCTACTGGGTACCCTACAGATTTATGTAATCTATTAAAACAAGACTATTCTTTGTCTTCTCTTAAAATTCTCCCTGTGTCATTCCCTAGGAATGCTATTCCAAACCTCTACTGTTCTACACCTCTCATTCCTCCCACCCTTTCTTGATAATCTTTTGTTGTTGTTCAGTCGTTTCTGTCCTGTCTGACTCTTCGTGACCCCATTTGGGATTTTCTCAGCAAAGATACTGGAGTGGTTTGCCAGTTCCTTCTCCAGCTCATTTTGTAGATAAGGAAACTGGGGCAAATAGGGTTAAGTGACTTGCCTGGGGTTACAGTTACCAAGTGTCTGAGGCTAGATCTGAACTCAGGAAGATGAGACTTCTGAATTCTAGGCACAGCACTCTATCCACTGCCCCACCAACAACCCCCCCCCATAATCTTATCTTTTACTAAAGAGAGAAAATTATGGTCATTTGCTATGAGTTCCTTCGTTTCTCTTAATTATCTCCAAGGCCTTTGTCATCATATACTGTTCTCTACTCCTTTCCTCTAGTCTCTGAAAAAAATGTGGCCCATCTCCTTCTCAAAGCCAACATCTCTCCTGTTCTCTCTTGTTTTCTACAGAGAGTAGCCTCCTCAATCAAAACACCCCTGCAATCTTCACTTTTTCCTTATCTACACGTTCTGTCCCTACTTCCTTAAAACATTTACAAAGTTCCCTGAACTTTAAAAAAGAAAAACAAACACCAAAAAAGCTTCTAGCTATCATTCTAAATCTATTACCTTTCTTAGCCAAACACTTACAAAAAATGTCAGTACTTGTTTCCTCCACTTCTCTTTCATCTCACACCTCAACAATTTGTAATCTGGCTTCTTACTGCGTCAGTTAAGTGATTGCTCTTTGATATCTTTTTTTTTTTGCTTGATCCCTGATCAGGGAAGATCTTTATTGTTTCTCTATTACAAATGATACTAGCTCTTGGTTTTAAATAAGAAACAATACATTTTTCCTTTTGTTTTCTAGTGACTTGGTCATAAGTGGTTGTTTAATTTTGTCAAAAGCTTTTTCTACAGCTGTTGATATAATCATGTGATTCTGTTAGTTATTAATACAGTCTTATAATTTGTAGTTTTCTTAATATTTAACCATCTTTCATTCCTGACATAAATCCAATCTAATAATAATAAAAATGGTAATAGTAAATAGTAACATTTCAAATATTTTGTTCAATTTTTTTTTTGCATCTTAATTGCCAAGAAAAAACAGTTCAGAAAAACTCAGAGATGAAAGTACCTAGAAGAAGAGGACAGTCAATAGCAGCAAATACAACAAAGAAGTCAAGAAAGACGTGGACTGAGAAAAGGGCATCAGATTTGGCAATTAAGATATCAAAGAGCAATAAACTTTCCTGGTGGCTCTAAGTTATCTTATTAAATAATGAAAACTAAATTGCAATTTCATGAATTAATGAGAAAATATTCAAACATAATGTTATGGCTTACTCTAGTACTCAGGATCATGAGAATGAATACAGTAGCAAACTTAGTAGTAGGATTGTTCCTATAGTCTACAAGTGAGTACAGTCTCCACAAACCAGTGTATCAAATTAGGAGTTTGAGAAACATAACATTAGGCCTATACTTCTAATGAATACAGATGCATATCCTGCCCTCCCACTGTTGCTGTGTACCCCAGGACTCTTCCTTTGGATCATCTCTTCCTCTCTATATTCTTTTTTGGTAATCTTATTGGCTCGTAATGAATTTAATTATTATAATGATGCAGATAACTCCCAGATGTATATATTCAGCCCCAGGTTCTCTCCTCAGCTCCAGTTCCACATCAACAACTGCCTATTAGACATTTCAAATTAAATCCCCTGGACATATCTCAAATCCAACACAGACAAGTAAAGTGTCGTCTTCCAAAAGGACGATTCTGACTGTGTTACACCCGCCCCCCACCACCACCTTAACTGCATTGGCTCCCTTTCACTTCTAGGATCAAATATGAATTTGTTTGGCTTTTAAAGCCCTTTATAACCTGCTCTCTTTCATCTTTCCAGTCTTCTTACCCTGTAAACTTCATCATATACTGTGAAGTCTAGTGACTTGCCTCCCTGCTGATCTTCAAACAAGATATTCCATCTCCTAACTCCAGGCGTTTTCACTTACTTTCCCTTGTATCTGGAAATCTGTCTTTTTATCTCTGCTTCCTAGCTTTCCTGGCTTCCTTTGAGTCCCAGCTAAAACCCCACCTTCTACAAGAAGAGTTTCCCAATCTCTCTTAATTTCAGTGCCTTCAGTCTGTTGGTTATTTCCACTTTGTCCTGTCTACAACTTATTTGTACATAGTCGTTTGCGTGTTGTCTCCCTCAGTAGACCATGAGTGCTTTGAGAGCAGGGACTTTCTTTTGTCTTTCTTTGTATTACTGTCTGGCACATAGTAGGTGCTTAATTAATATTTATGGACTTACTAACTTATCATCTGCTCTGATTGAATGTAATTTCCTTGAGAACAAGTGAAATACTGCAGAAGGAGCATTGATTCTGGAATCAGAGGACCCGAGTTCAAATCCTGTCTCTAGTTCTTACTTCCTGCTTGATATAGGGATATGTCATTTAATTTCTCTGAGCCTGTTTCTTCATCTGTAAAATGAGGTGGTCAGATCATATGGCCTCTGAGATTTCTTATAACTCTTAATTTGTGAGCCCAAAGAGATGAGGAAAAGATATTTTTATTCATTTTTGACCTTTGTATCCCCAGTGGCTAGTCCAGGCACAGGGCTTGGCACATAGTAGGTTCTTATGTACTCATTGGTTGACTGATTGGTTAACTGGAAACCTTTCTTTGAAATGGTCTCTGGACAATTCCACACAGTGAAAATCTGCTCAAACTACTATTATCTCTGTTGCAACTAGTCTTTCAACTTTTTTATTTGCTTATTTTTTGTTAAAATCTTCTAAGAGAATCATATATCAAGTATGTTTAATATAGTGAAAATGCAGACAATGTTCAGTAGCCTGAGCATACACTTCTTTAAAGTCTTTTGCAAATCAAAGTACTCTGTTTTCATCTTATAGATATCTTACACATATAGAATAAATATCTTACAGTAGCATGACATAAAAAATATCAGTTTAAAAACAGAATGATTAAGAAAACTAAAACAAAACATTTGGAAATAGTTGAAATATTACTTGGGATAAGCAAATGTGTTGCAAAGTTGGTAATGCCATGGTAATAAGGAAAAATTTCAGATTCAAGACTAAAGTCAGGGGGCAATTCTTTTAATTTTACCAGTTTTCAGAGTGGTTGTATTATTCCAAGAATCACAATCTGAATTATCAGCACTATTGTTTATATTATCCATACTATTTTTGTCTTTTTATTAACTTTCTTAAGCTAGCTTACGCATGGAAAAAAGGTGATACCTTGTTTTTATGCTGGGCTTTTTACTTTTGTTACAAATGTTACTTGGGGTTATTTCTGTTTCCCATTAATATCAAGCAAAATGTCAGAACAAGGCTTAATGATTTTAAAATTAGAATATGATGTTCTGAAGCAGCTAGGTGGCATAGAAGACAGAGTGCTAGACTTGGAGTAAGAAAACCTGAATTTATATCCTTCCTTAGACATTTACTATCTGTGTGACCCTGAGTAAAGTACTAACATTTCTTATATTCAGTTTCCATATTTGTAAAATGGCTATAATAATAGCACATACTTTACAGAGTTGTTGTGAGAATCAAATGAGATTACATATGTAAAATGATTTGCAAATCTTAAAAGTACCATATGAATGCTAGGTTGCAGATTTTATTGATCCCTTTAACAAAATTTCATTGAAACATGGAAATGTTGATGTCTTGATTACTGAAGATTCCTCTCTACCAAAAAAAAGGCAGGGTAGGGGGTGGGGGGTTGGGGGGAGCTAGGTAGTACAGTGGATAGCTCACCACTCCTGCAGTCAGGAAGACTTGAATTCAGATATGACCTCAGACACTTACTCTCTGGGTGAGCAAGTCACTTAACCTCAATTACCTCTTCCCACCCCATCCCACCCCCTGCCAAAAAAAAAAAAGATTTTGTGATCTATTAGCTTTTTTTGATTTTGAATATTTAAATCTTGTAATTTTCACTTTTCAGATTTATACAAACCCTTATGCACCTGCTTAAAGGAAATATTGGAACTGGCCTTCTAGGACTCCCACTGGCAATAAAAAATGCCGGTATTGTGGTAAGACCTTTTTTGTAGTGGCAAGTTAAGATACATTGAATGATCTAAATTGTAAACAAAAAATTGTCAGAGGATAATGTCCAAGCTAATAATATCAGATGTTTTTGGTCAGATGCATTTTGGCCAGTTAAAAGTCAATTTTGATGCAATATTTTATTTCACCAAAATTATGGAAACTATAAATAATAATGCATAAACAAGCTGTGAAAATAGTTTTTAATATTTCTTTGTCATTGGATGTTTACTTATGGTATTATAGTGCCTTGCATAAAGCAGACCATAATTGCGGAACTGAACTGAAGTTAACACTGAACATGTTTAAAAAAGTGATGTTTTCAAAGTATGCTTGTAACACAATTTAGATTCCATAAGGCTGAACAGTTTGCCTATCATTTTCGGTAATCAGTATTGATCTACAGCTGACATGGTAGGCATACACCTTGCTTGTGCTGCTAACCAGATTGTGAGAGCAAGCATATGTTATCAGGAAATGTACACTACCAGTCTTTTGTCACCTGTTGCTATTGCAAGCAACATATAAAAGGAATATGAGCATTCCGTTAGACCAGGGGTGGGGAACTTAGGGCTTCGAGGCCACATGTGGCCTTCTAGGTCCTTGAGTGTGGCCTTCCGACTAAGTCCAAGTTTTATAGAACAAATTCTTTTATTAAGGGGACTTGTTTTGTGAAGTTTGGATTCAGCCACAGTTGAGGACCTAAAGGGCCACATGTGGCTTCAAGGCTGCAGGTTCCCCACCTCTGCATTAGACTGTTGATTGTTGACTGGTCATGGTAATTTTACTAAGAAACAAACTACCTGAAATCATGATTCTGATGCTGTGTATGAATCGTGACTTGGGCCTGAGAAAGTTTCAGATTCTGATTATCTATAGATTCTGTCTTGTTTTGTGTGAAATTTGTGACTCTTTGTGATTTCTGTTAGTGGAATTGGAAACTCTAAGGCATAAGCCTTGCCTACATGTGCTTCAGGGAGAGTGGACGTGTCAGGAAAGGCCCCACTGATCTGTCTATGGGCTGTGGCTAGCTGAGATTGCTCTCCCTCAAATAGATATCTGCTAACTTCACAGATAACCTGTGATATACATTGATCTGTATTCTTGGCTAGATTGTATATAACCCAAGAGTCTCAACTGGGTCATTTACCTTTTTCAAGGAAAAAGAAAAGGGTACAATAATAGTAAGGCAGGTAGGTTGCACAGTAGATAGAGTACTGGACCTGGAGTCAGGAACACTCCTCTTCCTGAGTTCAGACCCAGCCTCAGACACTTACTAGTTGTGTGACCCTAGACAAGTCACTTAACTCTGTTTGCCTCTGTTTCCACATCTGCAAAATGAGCTGGAGAAGGAAACGGCAAACTACTCTAGTATCTTTGTCAAGAAAATCCCCCCAAAAGGTCATAAAGAGTCAGACTTGACTGAAAAAATGACTAAACAGTAACTCAATAGTAAAGAGAATGTATCCAATAAATTTAAAAAGTGCAGATTATTTGTATTGTAAAACTATACATTTTTTAAATTATAAACATGAAGTTTTGTTGCCCAAGAATCATGTTTAACACATGTCTACTAAAGAGAAAGGTTGTGGTTCTTTGTAATTTAGCATGTAGCTGAAATAAGCTGATGCTTATTTTAGGGATATTTTGGGGAAATTATCTATGAAGTAGTGGAATAATATTTGACTTTTGCATATTGATTATTTAAAAATATTATGATCTGACTGTACAAGTGATTTGTCTGACAGATTGGCCTACTCTAATCTAGAGCAACTTTCATTCTTTTGGTTATATGAATAAATGTGAAATTATGAAGATGCTTTGACTATTTTTTGAAAACCCCTATGTTTTTGATTATTAAGATGTTATGATACAGCTCTTTAGACTGATTTTTAAACATGTCTATTAGAAGAGGAGGTAGAGATAGAGAAATGCTGTCTCAGTTGCTTTGGCATGCATTGCCTAATATACCAGTTTGCCACAGTATTCAGCCTTTTTAAGGTAATTTAGCATGAGAATGATCCCACCACACTGTGGTTCTTTTGATAGTAGGCTGTGATGTTCTTTGACTTCCCATGTGGTTTTGAATAGAATGTACTTTTTTAGCCTACATCATTGCCATTCCTTTCATAGATATACTATAGGTTGGGGTAGCTAATGGGAGATGGACTTTAAATATCAGCTAAAAAATTTTTATGTCTTTGAGTTTTTGTCTCATTTAATAAGCTATTTCATCATTCAATTAACCAAATATTTATTGAAATAGTTTTCTCATTGTTTATAAGGCGACTTATATTTGTTCAAAATTTCAGTATTTGAAAATTATGTTTTGATCTCTTTCTCTTACAGCTTGGACCAATCAGTCTTGTGTTTATAGGAATTATATCTGTTCATTGTATGCACATGTTGGTACGTTGCAGTCACTTTCTCTGTCAGAGGTAAATGTGAAGTTGTTCAATCTAATTCACATGTTTGTTAAAGAATTTTAGAACCTCCAGGTAGTCTTTTTTGCTACTGCATTTTCTAATTAGAAATTATATTTTTATTAACAAAACAGGTTTTTCATATATGTCATTCAACTCATGTCATTCAATTTGCCATTCTTTAGACACATTCTCATTAGAAAAATAAATTACTTTTCTTTCTTGCTTAATGTGAGAGGCGAGAAATAAAAGAAAGTAGAAAAGCCTAAATTGAACAATAATACTTGCAGTTCTGGTTTAGTGAGCTTCATTTGTCAGTAGTTCTGTTCTTTGTGTCCCATAAGGTCTTGTGGGTTTTATTGTAATAATAATGATAATAACAACAACAAAAATTATAACTAACATTTGTATTAGAGCTTTACGGTTAGGAAAGTGCTCTATTGTGGTGAGATTGGGACGTAAGCAGCAAAATCACATTTCTGTAAACTATAATGTGTTTTCTAAATGTGCAATTTTCATTTTTTCTTCTTTATTCATGAGTCTAAAATGCCTAATTTGTAGTGTAGCAAAATGTTACACAACTGTTCATAAAAGATCTAGACTCTACTGCTACTCTGTGTAACCTCGGGCAAGTCACTTAAACACTAAGTCTTATTTTCCTCATCTGTTAACAAAAAAAACAGTAATAATGTTGTTATAGTTTACTTGTCCACCTCAGAAGGTGGTTCTGAGGCTAATTTTGTAAACTGAGCTTCCACATGGAAAGTATTAAAGAATAGCAGTTTACGAATTGATTGATTTGGATTTTGTATACAATAATTGCTGTAAATTTCAGAGATGTGAAATATTTCATGTGTAAAGCATAAACTTGGAATTAATGTCAATTTAGTTTTAATAGGGATGTGATTTTTAACATTTATATCAATGAATATAAAAACAATAACTGCATATTAACTATCATATGTGGTACTTCTTAAGGGAGAAGTGACATTTTCAGAATTTCCCCCAGCTTATTAATTTCTGTTGAATTGGCATGCTAATAACAGTTCACATTTGGCCAAGCAGTCTAACATAATGAATTGAGATCTGGATTCAGAGTCGGGAAGACCTGGGTACAAGTTTACTCCTGATACTTGATAAGTGATTTAGCTCTTAAAAAATATCAGTTGCAAAACAATTGTAGATACACATTTATAAAGATTGTCTCCTATCCTTGAGTTCTCTACAGCATTGAAGTCACATCCAGCTCCCTCTCCCCCTCAAATCATTTTATATTGCATTTTAAGGCTTAAAAAAGTAATAATGAGAACTTATAGATGCTTAAGTTTTTCTTTTACATATTTATTATTACATTTCAGGTTTAAAAAATCTTCATTAGGTTATAGTGACACTGTTTGTTTTGCTATGGAAGTAAGTCCTTGGAATTGCATCCAGAAAAAATCTTCTTTGGGAGGGTGAGTATTTTGTTAATATATCATTTTATCTGCAAGTACACAGACAGGTTAAGAACCCTTGTGTTAAGCAGACTGTTCCAAAGGCCTCAATTGCTGTGTGATGGTATCCCTGCCAGATGACACAGGTGCAGCATCTCCACTTATTCACTATCTATTAACTTTGTCAACCTGCAGCCTTGTTTCCATCCCCAGGAGTCTGCTGAAATTGCTCTCTCAAAAGTTATCTCCTACTTCTAAAATCCAGTGGTCTTTTTTCAGTCCTAATCTTCCTTGAGCTCTCAATGTAATTTAATATTGTTGATTACCTACTTCTCCTTGGGTTGTAGAAACACTACATTTCCTTGCTTTTCCTTCTACCTAAGAATTCATTATCTCTGGTTCCTCTTCCTGACACTTTAAAATTTGTATCCTAAAGTGGTGTTGTAGGCCGTATTCATTTGTTTCTCTACACTCTCTCCTTTTGCTGCTACTCACAACTTCATCTATTATAGCTAGTCCTATTATTCCTGAGTGTCGCTGTCTCTGTCTCCGTCTCTCTCTCTCTCTGTCTTTCTTTCTCTGTCTCTGTTTCTCTCTGTCTCTGTGTGTGTTTTTACACATAAACACATCGCTGACCTCTCTCAGCTTTAGGTCAACATATCCAAATGTTTGACCAACACTTCAAACTCTTCTTGCCCTGAGCTAAACTCATTATCTCCCTAAAAGAAGAAATTCTTCAACTAATAAATAAGCATATATTTTTAAGCCCTTATTATGTGTCAGGCACTGTGCTGAGTACAAGGGATACAATTAGAAAACAAATACAAGCCCTGCTGTCAAAAAGCTTATATTCTAATGGGAGAGACAAACATGAACATAGATGTATACAGGATAACTACAGAGTAGCTATAAGATAACCTTAAAGGGGAGGCACTAGTACTGGGGTGATTAGGAAAGGCCTTGAAGAGGCAACATTTGAGCTGAATCTTGAATGGATTTAGGAATTCAGAGAGGCTGAAGTGAGGAGAGAGAGCATTCCAGGCATAGAGGACAGTGGCATTCAGAGGGGAGTTGGAACATTGTGGATGGGGAACAGCAAGTCAGCCAGTATAACTGAACCATAGAGTGCATGGAGGGGAGTAAAGTATTAAGAATACTGGAAAGATACTTTAGAGTCAAGTTGTGAAGATCTTTAAATGCCAAACAGAAGAGTGTATTTGATTCTAGAAGTAAAATGTGGCCACAAGAAGTTGAGTCAGGAAAGGAGTGGGATGTGGACAGAGCTACACATTTTTAAGCAATTGGGGTTAAGTGACTTGCCCAGGGTCACACAGCTAGTAAGTGTCAAGTGTCTGGTCTGAGGTCACATTTGAACTCAGGTCTTCCTGACTTCAGGGCTGGTGTTCTATCCACTGTGCCACCTAGCTGCCTCTTCAGAGCTATACTTTTAAGAAAATCATTTTGGCAGCAATGTAAAGGATAGATTGTAGTGGCAAGCCACTTGAGGCAGGGGAAACCAGTTAAGGCTATTGCAATTTGCTGATGTCTCAAGACTTTTCAGAGCCTAAATTAATGTGGTGGTTATAACATGGATGAAGTTCTAGTAAAGGAGACTGAGAAGGAGTCTTCAGACAGACAGGAAGATAACCAAAGGAAAGCCTTGTTATGAAACTCAGAGAGAGTATCTGGAGGAGAAATTAGTCAACTGCTACAAGTATGAGTATTGAAGAAAAACCATTAGATTTAGCATTTAAGATATTAATTAAAAAAAAACACCCAGAAGGTTTAAATGCTAGGTCACCTAGTAAGTGCCCTGTTCAAAGTTAGAGTCCAAGCTTCCAGACTTTTAGTACTGTTCTTTTAGAACCATGCCATGGTGCCTCATTGTGGTGCAGATATTCAGTTCAGTTCAACAAACATGCATTAAATATTTACTGTGTGCAGAGAATAGTGCTTAGGGCTTGTGTAAGTAATAAATTGAGAAAAAAACCTCATTTTCTTTCCTCCTGGACCTTATCAGTCTAATGAAGGATATAAATAATAGTGTTGGGTTTTGTCTTTTTTCTTTTCTAACCAAACATAAACATGGACAAAGTAGTTCTTTACTAACACAAAAAGAACTATTATATTTTTGTGTATAAAGGACCTTTTCCTCTATCTTTGATTTTTCTTGGGGTAAAAGCCTAATAGTGGTATAGTAACACTATATATTAAAAAGGATCTGAGAAAATCCAGGAAATAGAGGGTGAATATATGGTAAAGAGCATTTGGGTGAAGACCAACAGAGGCAGTAGATGTTATATTGTCATCAAAGCATACTAGAGAATTCCTAGACAGGAAGAAAAGAGAGGATGTGATTTCAGATAACAGATCATAATCCTGTCACAGAGGCTTGATATAGCAGTCATGGGGGTCTTTAATTATCTGAATATCTGTTGGTATGTTTTCTTTCTCTCTCTCTCTGTCTCTCATTCATTCTCAGAAGCTAATCATTTTTTGGTTTGTCTAAATGATAATTTCATTATTCAAAATGTGGAAGAATCAGTAAGGGGCAACTGCTGTTCTAGACCTGATTCTGCCCAGTAAGGAAGAAGTTATTGCTAAAGTATAAATTATGGGAACGTTGGATTGAAATGAGCACTCCATCCTAGAATTTTCAAAACAGGAGAAGAAAGCCAGATATTGTCTTAAGAGTATGCTGTATTTTAGGAGAAAGATATTGAAGAGTTCAGAGAAAACATTGGGAAGATCCCATGGACTAAAATTCTTCAGGGGAGGACAGTTCAGAAGGGATGGGAAATTATCAACAATGAAAATCTGAAGGTGCAAAGAAAAACAATTTGATTGAGAAGGAAAATGGGGAGTTACATAGATTTTTAAAGATGTGTACAAGATAGATTTAAGCATAAACACTGAAAGATGAATACAGTAGGGTGGGATAGTCCTGTAAGAATAGACAAGTGCTAAGCACAACAAAAAAAGATTTTCTGGGGTTTGAGGATGGGGAAGATTGAAGAAAGGAAAGGCTACTAAGGGTGGATGAGGTAATAATAAGAGACAATGGAAAGATGGCAGAAATATTCAATTTTTCTGTTTTCTCTGCCAAGGAAAATCATTTTTGGATTAGAAATGACAGAACAAAATTGACGATGGGGAATTTATACTAGAGATAAGTAAGAAGAGAGGAAGAGAGCACCTAGCTATAAAGTTAAGAGTTCAAGTTGCCAGGCCCAGACAAGCCACATCCCACAGTACTGAAAAAACTAGTAGATGTGATTGCTGAGCATCATCAGTTGTCTTCAAAAGATTGTAGAAAACAGGAGAGCTGCTGTGGGAATAGAGAAAACCAGGCAGTGTTCTTAAAAAAAAGGGAAAAGAGTATAGTCTGCAGGTTATAGGCCAGTGAACTTGACTCATTTCCTTGTAAACTTCTCAAAAATATTATTAAAGGGATGGTTAGTAAAGATCTAGGGGGAAAAAAAGGGATGCAGTGGTCATAAAGAGTCAGCATGGCTTCATGAAATCAGCCCATGCCAAATTAGCCTCATTTCTTTTAGATCACAGGAATGCGGTAGATATAATTTACCTAGATTTTAGCAAGTCACTTAATAAAGTCATCTACTATTCTTGTGAGGCTGAGAGCTAAACAGTACTACATTTAGCTATATTTGTAAATAGACATGAAATATAGCTATTATGGTTGGATGTCAACTTTGGAAGGAGTTCTCTAGTGGATTGTCCCAAGTATATAGCCTTACTTTGTTGAATATTTTTATCAGTGACTTGGATAAAGGCATAGATGATAGACTTATTTGTATGAATATTTGCTGATGTCTCAAAACTACCTTGGCTGATTAAAACTTGGATCACAAGTCAGATTCCAAAAGATCTCAATAGTTTTGAACCTAAACCTAATAAGATGAAATTTAATAGGAATAAACTCTTATATTTCAAAAAGTTATTTTATATAAACACATTCAAAAATTAATTTTTATAAGTACAAGAGAGAAAAGGCATGACTAGATGGCAGTTTGTCTAAAAAAGATCCAGGGCTTTTAGTGACCTGCAAAATCAATGTGACAGCTAAAAAAACTGGGTCCCCCAAGCTACCTCATGTTTACTTTGACTATGTTAAGAGAGACATAGGGTTCAGAATGTAAGAGCTTATAGGCCTATTATATTCCACCTTCATTAAACTATAGCTGGATTGTTTGTTGTTCAGTTCTGCATACCATGTTTTAAGATGGACATAATAAGCTATAGAATATGCTGAGGAGAGTGACCAGGATAATGAAGGACCATAAGATTATGCTCTATTAGGATGTGATTAATAGGACTTAGCCTGAAGAAGACTCACAGCCTGGAGGATGCTTACTGGGGTGGGGAGCCTGTGGTCTCAAGGCCACGTGTGGCCCCCTCCGGGTCCTCAAGTGTGGCACTTTGACTAATCCAAACTTTGCAGAACACAGAGGCCGACCAAAGGTTCTCCTTCCCTGGTACCCTGAAGAATTGCTGGGGCTATTCAAGCTATTTTCAAATATTTGAAAAGCTATCATGTGGAAGAGGGATGACTTCTTCTGTTTTGCTCCAGAAGACAGAATTAGAACCAGCAGAGAAGCAGATTTTTACTTATTGTGATATGAGTAAATAATTTTTTTTTAGGATTTAAAAAAAAATTTTAACATATGTTTTTAAAACTTTGGGTTCCAAATTTTCTCCCTTCCTCCCTCCCCACCCACCCTCATTGAAAAGGCAAGCATCCTGATACAGGTTATAGATGTGTAGTCATGCAAAACGCTTTCATAGTAGTCCTTTTATGAAAAACTAAGTATATTTCTCATCATCCTATCTTACCCCCCATTTATTCTGTTCTCTCTTTTGACCCTGTCCCTCCTCAGAAGTGTTTACTTTTGATTATCCTCTCCCCCAATCTGCCCTCCCTTCTATCAACCTGCTGCTCTCTTGTCCCCTTCCCCCTTTATTTTCCTGTAGGGTAAGATAGATTTCCATACCCCACTGTGTATGTTATTCCCTCCTTAAGCCAGATCCTATGAGAATATGATTCACTCATTCCCTCTCACCTTCCCCCATTTCCCCTCCATTGTAAAAGCCTTTTCTTGTTTGTTTCATGTGAGATAGTTTACCCCATTCTACTTCTCCCTTTCTCCTTCTCCCAGTATAATCCCCTCTTACCCCTTAATTTTATTTTCCAGATATCACCCCTTCATCTTCAACTCACCCTGTGCCTTCTATCTATCTGTACATACATATAATTTTTTTCCCTCCCACTACCCTAATACTGACAAAGGACTCATGAGTTACAAAAATATCATCTTTCCTTGCAGCAATGTAAACAGTTCAGCCTTACTAAGTCTCTTGTGATTTTTTTTCTTGTTTACCTCTTCCATGTTTCACTTGAGTCTTGTATTTGAAAGTCAAATTTTATATTCAGCTCTGGTCTTTTCCTTAGGAATGCATGAAAGTCCCCTATTTCATTGAATGACCATTTTTTACCCTGAAGGATTATACTCAGTTTTGCTGGGTAGGTGATTCTTGGTTGTAGTCCTATTTCCTTTGCCCTCTGGAATATTATATTCCATGCCCTGCAGTCCTTTTATGTAGAAGCTGCTAAATCTTGTGTTATCCTGGTTGTGTTTCCACAGTACTTGAATTGTTTCTTTCTGGCTGCTTGCAATATTTTCTCTTTGACCTGGGAATTCTGAAATTTGGCTACAATATTCCTAGAAGTTTTCCTTTGGAGATCTCTTTCAGGAGATGATCGGTGAATTCTTTCAATTTCTATTTTGCCCTCTGGTTCTAAAATATCAGGGCAGTTTTCCTTGCTGATTTCTTTTTTAAAATTAAAAAAAAATTTTTTTTTGATAATTTCTTAAAAGATGATGTCTAGGCTCTTTTTTTGATCATGGCTTTCAGATAGTCCAATAATTTTTAAACTCTGTCTCGTGGATCTGTTTTCCAGGTCAGTTGTTTTTTCCAGTGAGCTATTTCACATTCTCTTCTATTTTTTCATTCATTTGGATTAGTGTTATAGTGCCTTGATTTCCCAAATTGTCACTAGCTTCCAATTGGTCCCTTCTTATTTTTAAGGAAGTATTTTCTTCAGTAAGCTTTTGGACTTCCTTTTCCATTTGGCCAATTTTGCTTTTTACAGCATTCTTCTCCTCATTGGCTTTTTGGACCTCTTTTGCCATTTGGGTTAGGCTATTTTTAAGGTGTTATTTTCTTCACTATTTTTTGGGGGGGTCTCCTTTAGCATCACTCTCAGTTTTTCCTCCACTTCTTTTACTTGCTTCTCAAAATCCTTTTTTGAGCTCTTCCATGGCCTGGGACCAATTCATATTTTTCTTGGAGGCTTTGGATGTAGGAGCTTTGGCTTCGTTGTCTTCTTCTGGTTGTGTGTGTTGATCTTCTTTGTCACCGTAGTAAGATACTATAGTCTGACTCTTTTCGTGCAGCTTGCTCATGATCCCGGCCAATTACTTGAGTTGTAAACTCTTTGTTAAGGTAGGAGTCTGTTTCCAGTGTGGAGAATGTATTGTCCCAAGCTTCAGGGGTTTTGTGCAGCTTTTTTCAGAGATACTTCTAGGGACCTGTAAATTTTCACTTCTTCCAAGGTGGTATGATAAGGGGAGAGGTGTTTACTCCTTTCCTGGCCTGTGCTCTGGTCTATGAGTAACCACAAGCACCCTTTTCTGTCTTGGAACTGTGAGGAGGGTTTCCTATCCACAGCCATTACAAGCTTCACCATGCCTGCACTTCTCCCCGCCCCAAGACTGCCGCCCACAACTGTGACCCAGATCCAAGCATGGGCAAAGCAAGAGAATCCTGCACCAGCAGAGAGATCCCTGCAATCCCTCTCTGATCAGCCACTTGATTTCCCCTCAGTCTGTGGGCTGGAAGCTCAAGAGGCAGCCTTCACCCCAGGGCCGTGCTTTGGGAATGGGGCTGGGACCCTGCACTTCTCTCTCACCACTGAAATAGACTTTTCCCATTGACTTTCTAAGTTGCCTTGGGTGTTCATGGGTTGAGAAGTCTGGAAACCACCACAGCTGTCCGTGATTCAGTCCTCTGAAACTTGCTCCAGGTTCGCTGTGGCCTCCGCGCCCACACTGAACTGCGCTCCTCTCACTGCCTGGCGTTATATTCCTTTCTGATTAACCATCCAGGCTGCCTTGGGCCGGGAATTTGTTTCACTTTGTCTTTTTGTGGGTTCTGCTGCTTTAGAATTTGTTTAGAGCCATTTTTTATAGATATTTTGAGGGTCTTGGGGGAGAGTTCAAACAAGTCACTGCTTTTACTCCGCCATCTTGGCTCCGCCAATAATTTCTAATAATTAGAGATATCTAGAAATGGGACCAGCTATCTTAAGAGGCAGTGGACATTACTGCGCTAAAGGTTTTCAGGTAAAGGCTGCATGATTAGGTGTGTTATAGAGTGAGTTTTTGTTCTTCTTGGATTTATGGCTACTGTGTTCCATTCCACTTTGGAGATTCTTAACCATCCTTTTTAAAACACAATTCAGATTCTGAATTCAGAAAATTTTCCTTGATGATTCCTAGTTAGGAATGACCTTTCCTGCTCAGACTTAGTGTAACATTTCAATTTTATTTTTATTTTGTGCCTTTTTTTAAATATATTATGGTTATTTGTGGTATATTCTATTTTCCTATTGGACGGTATTCTCCATGAGAACACAGAATTCCTTTCTGTCTAAACTTTGTATGTAAACATGGTGTTTTGTTCACAGTGTGAAGGGCACCAGGAGCTATAAATGTCTGTCTAATTACTCAGCCTTTATGCAACCCTGGGCAAGCTACAGGGTGCTGTAGCAGTACTGGGAGATGCCAAAATGTGATAAGACCTTATTCTATCAGACTTACATTGTATACACTGAAACCAGATGTTCTGATCGATGAAACCTGAATACCTAAATTAACATGTATAGTTCATGCTTTATTGTATTTTAAAGAATAGAATAATTAGGGAAATATCACTCTGAACTTAAAAGCTGGAAAATAATGAATTTTAAAGGGAGATAGTATGTCCTAGGAACTTTATATCACAATCCTAGCTTTGCCACATATCCTATATAAACTAACTTGAATCACCTTAATTTAGGTATTTCTTGGCTTCCTTTTTTTTTTTAAGGCAATTGGGGTAAGTGACTTGCCCAGGGTCACACAGCTAGTGTCAAGTGTTTGGTCTGAGGTCATATTTGAACTCAGGTCCTCCTGACTTCAGGGCCGGTGCTCTATCCACTGCGCCATCTAGCTGCCCCTCTTGGCTTCTTTTAAAGTGTATAATTATTTATTTTTTGGAGGATCTTGAGAATATTTAATAAAAATCATGGTAGAGCCATTAGGTGAAAAATACAGTTTAGATATTTAATATTATTCTTCTTAACATCTTTTTTAGGTTAAAAATGTTAAACAATGCCCAGTGCTATTGTATAGCTGGGCTGGAGTTGAGGAGAGATGGACAAGTGATATTTAGGTCAGATATCTTGGTATTTCCCTACTTAATCTTCTGGGTCCACACTGAAGTGTGGGTATCGATTGATTATTTTGATTAATACAATAACAAGAGATTTCTGGGGTATATTCACTTAATCTGAACCAGTAACAAATATATAAAGTTGACAGAAAGACACTGAGTCCCTCATAATTGACACTTGAAATATGTTTGATCTTGAGGGTAAGGCATGGGCGTGGGATGGGCCTTGGTCTTAGTTATTCAGGGGAGTGGGTCGTTCTTGATGCCTTATTGCTGTTGGTGGTAGGTCGGCCACTCTGGGCAAGGTGTTTCTCTGCCTTGCCTAAGTTCCCATGTTCAAGCAGCAGAGGCTGAACTTGACGCCCTAGTGGCTATAGTAAGTAAGAGGCCCTGCATTGGTAGATGGTGAGTGTGCCGACAGAAGAATGAGGGTGGGTTGCTCAGCTCAGCAGCCATGTGTATTCAGGTCATTCTGTCTGCTACTACATCTGTGACTTCGCTCACACAGCTTTGCCTGTTTGGCCTGAAGGCCAAAGTTCCCTCACCTGTCAGATGGCGAGCTTAGACTAAATGATGTCTAGGGGTCCAGCCTGCTCTGACTCCACAGTCCCAGGCATCCTTGTGCCGTTGGACACAGCATAGGACGTCCTCTGTGAGGGTGGAGGATTTATGTCTCCCTTCACAGCAATCGGAGTGCAATTACTCTTTGTACTTGTATTTATTAGGAAATCTTACTATCATATCCTGGATTTAGAGCTAGCTACAAGTGGAAGTCATCCAGTTGAAAACTTCTCATTTTACAGATGAGGAAACTGAGGTTCAGCGAGATGAAATGGCTTATGCAGCTGCTAGTGATAACAGCTGGGTTTTGAATCCAGAGTCCTCTAACACTGAGAAGCATGCTACTTCTTAATATAAACCTATGATATTTGCTCTACTGAGTCATGTGCCTTTTTGAGGGAGAGGGGATTATTAGCACATACAGCAGGATCTTTTATTCTGTTTTATTCATTTGTAAATTGTAAATGTCTATACATTATAAAAAATGGATATTTTAATTCTGTTCCTTACTGTCTCACTTGGGAAAAATAAAAACACTTTATTTCAAATTTATTAGCATGGTTTATAAAAGGGGTAAAAAAATTGTCATTTTAGGAAGATGACCTTAAATTATATGTATCTATTTTCAGGAATATTGTGGACATTTTTTTGGTGATAACACAGCTGGGATTCTGTAGTGCTTACATTGTCTTCTTAGCTGAGAATGTGAAGCAAGTGAGTATTTTTCTTTCAATTATTAAGACAGTTTTCCTCAGTTATCTTTATTTTACTATTATCTTTCCCTTCCCTCTGTAGAAATTCTATTTTAGTATGGAAGTGTTTTTGTTCCATGGAGAGTGCTACTTCATTGCTTTCCCTTGGGCTTCACTTCTGCAAGTTGGTCTCCAACTCTTAAGTTTAAATGGTCTGTTAGCTCTCTTGACTTGTTATCACTGACTCCTCTCTCTTGTCAGATCAGAACATAAAGTTGATTCTTCTCATAGCATCATAAATATAAAGCTGGAAGGGACCTCAGAGCTTATCTAGTCCTTTGGGTTTGGTGTCTTAGAGCCCCACCAAAAGATTCTGGGAGCATATTTCTTTGAGTAAACATCTGAAAAGAATGTTGCTAGGCTTCACTTGAAAAAGGGAAAGTAAAGAAGTGGACATCAATAGAACTGAAGGATCATTGAATATAAATAGGTACTATCCCCATCAAAGTGTGGCAATTTTCGGTAGTTCTCCTTTATGTTGGGATATTGTTTCAGGTTGACTCTAAAGGGTCTTCAGCCTTGGTAGAGACTGACTGCCTATTTGGGCAAACATGCCAAGCACTGAAGTTGGAGCTCTACCCAAAAAAATGCCAAACCACATTCCTTTGTAACTGGTAGGTAGTCTTTATTATTATTATCTTCTTTTTCCTTCTCTTCTTTATTATTATTGTCACCATTATCAGTTATAAGTTTTACTTGCATATTAGGTGCTTAATAAATGTTGATTGATTGACATATGCATGGTGTAGTAGCAAGTGCTATATAAATACATGGTTTCCCACCTTTTAGATATGATATAAAGCATAAAGAGGAATATGTTTATGAAAGGATATACCTTATGTAAGATTTTACATATTACATTTAACTATATCCTTTTCTATTCTAGAGCCTAACATCCATAACTAATAAAGCCTCTAGTTTAGGATTTTCAAATTGGAATGGACCTTTGAGATCATCTAGTCTAACCCTCACATTTTACATATGAGGAAACCGAGGCCCAGAGATGATGGTTGTGTGAATTATCTTGCTCTTGGTCACTCAGCTTGTCAGTGATAGAGACACTAGAACATACTCTTTAGTGGATTCCAGGCCAGTGTTTTTCCTGTTATCATATTTTTTTTTCTTTAGCACATAGAATTATGTCTGGATGTGGCTGAGTTACTTTTTATTGAATGACTTTTGCTCTTCCCAGCCTTATTTCCCTTGTGTAAGCTTTTTGTTACACTTGTGGCTTCTCCTACACTGGCTATACCTGTCTTTGTCCAGGAATCCTCACCCAGGTCCTCCTTGTCCTGCCCTAAAAGATTTTTTTTAGCCTGACTTTTCTTTGCTAAAGTTATTTTTCATACTCCTACTGAAAGAATTTTGGCAACAAAGGAGCCATGACTGCCCTTTTTCTACCTGTAATTACAGCAAATGTTACTTTCATAGCTGAACCCACCAAGTTATTTGATCCACCTTGCCCCCCAGCCAGGGTTCCTTTGTAGCAGGCACTGAAGCTGCTCTGGCGCTTAGGGGGTCCCAGGCACTGAAGCTGGGTTGTGGGGCAAGGCCATCCAGAGCTCCCCAGGGGAGGGAGAGGTCTATGGAACAGTCCACTTACAGACAGCAAGAGTTATCTGTGTATACACTCATATGTTTGTGCTTTATAAAAGAGTAGGAGATAGGTGTCAAATAAAAATACATATAGAATGATTATATTTATATATATATGTATATATATGTATGTATACACATATATACACATATATATACATATATATACATATATATACATATATATACATATATATATACATATATATACATATATATACATTTATTAACTTAGTGTAATTTAATTAGGGAACTAATAGTGAGTAAAATGTCTCTGCTGATACCAATGAGTAGCTTTTCTGCAACCTACAGTATTAAGAGCTAAAGTGACTAATACAGAGTCATATAGCTAATGTGTGCAAGAGAGGGGCTGGTCTCCAGGTCTTCTTGGTCCTGGGTTCCAGTCCTGGCACTTGTCATGCAGTTTGTTCCATCACAGTGAAAAATAAAGGTCTGGAGGCCTAAATTATTTCAACCTATACTCAGCCTTTACAAGGTATCTGGTTCACTAGGGTGGAGGTGGTCATACAGCTGTAGTGGACTGGTTTGGGTAAACCAGCCTAGTGCTGTCTCGTGAACTGACTATTTATCAATACCACCATACCATACCATCTCCTACATTTTTATATACATATATGTAAATCATTCTATGTACACACACACATACATTTTGCATATGTGTGTGCATAAGAGCAAATATATAGGGTGATACACATAGATAGATAGATAGATACATGTTTATACGCACACATAGGGTCTCCAGAAAGTCTTTATATGCCATAAATTAAGACAAAAGAGATAATGGTTTTAGGAGGGAAGAACAAGTAACTGATTTATTAAGTAAACCTGATTTAGATAAAGATCAATAGAGGCAAAAATGGAAATGATGTTGTCACATAGACCTGGTTACGAAGAAGAAATAGATGAGAAATTTGCTAAGTCACAGGCCTAGCATGGCAAAATATCCTATATTAATGAGGAGGAGAATTTTATTATACAAACATCTGCTGGAGTTCTCACTGTGCCTAAAGCAGAGCAGCTAATAATATATTGGTTTTTCCTTGGGAAGCAACAAGGGATCCTGTTATTTTGGACTAATTTTGACCAAAAAGGAAGTCAGAAGGAAGTAGAACATGGAGGAAAGAGACCAGTCCATCTTAGAATTGGGGATAGGGCTGTAGGAAAGGAAATCCTTTCTCTTTCACGCCTATTGGGAGAGCAAATTTCACAGGTTTAGTGAAACTTTCCAAAAAGAGAAAGAATGGAATTTTCACCAAGTAGGTCTTTGATCTCGACTTGGCAAAATTCTAGAAGGTGTAATTAAAGGTATGGTTAAGAAACATGTAGGGGGATGAGAACGTGGCAGTGTGGCTTCATCAAGTCAAGCTATACTCAGCTGTATTGACAGGGTAAGTAAAATGAAAAGAGATATTGTGGTGCTACAGCTTGGGAGCTGAGTTTGAAGTTAGAAAGAGTTAGGTTTAAGTTCTGTGATTTAAATGTACAAGATGCCCAACAACAACAAATTCATTTACCCACTCGCAGTTCTCTAAGACTTTATCTATTAAGTATGCATGGCTTGTGATCAGTGTTGGTGCTAGTAGCTCCCAAACTGACAGATTCCTTAAAATGTTCATACAAAACTATCAAGAAAATACTGTAGATGTAGTTTGCCTGTATCTTAGCAGAATGTTTAATAAAGGCTTTTATGCCCTTCTTGGGGACAAGATGGAGAGCTGAGATCTGGTTAATGTTAGTACAGTCAGGTGGGTTCTCAACTGAACAAACAACTGGACCCAAGGGTGGAAATAAGATGTCACCTCAGAGGAAGGTCTCTGGGGGAAGAAACACCTTAGGTGTCTGGCCTTGGCCTCATGCCATCTAATATTTTTAATCAATGACTTGGATCAAGGCATAACTGATAGGCTTATCAAATAAGCAAATAATAAAAAACCAGGAAGCATGGCTCATACATTGGAATGACAGAATCAGGATACCACACTGTACTAAATCTAATAAAATAACATTTAATACTGACAGTCTAAACTGGTTTTAAAATTATCTATACAAATATTAGATGGGGTAGAGTTGCTAGATTGCAATTTGTCTCAGAAAGATATGGGGGTTTTAGTAAACTGCAACCTCACGATAAATCACCAATCAGCAGTTCTTGAATGCTACTGTGTACCAGGTATTATGCTAAGTACCAGGGATCCAAAACCAAAAGTAAAACAGTTGCCCTCAAGGAGATTACATTTTTACAAGGGAGACAACATTTACATGTATAAATCTATACAGAATATATACAAAATGAATACAAGATAGTTTTGGGAGGAAGAGTAGTTGTAGTTGAGGTGGTGTGAGATCAGGGATGGGATCAGAGGGGACCAGGGATGTGTTGCGCAAAAAAAGCTAATATGAGCTTCAGCTACTTCAAGATAGACATGATGTCCAAGACTAGGAAATTGATATTCCTTTTTCCATGATCAGACTATACTTTGAGTGGTATGGTTAGTTCCGGGTGCCACACTGTAGGAAGGTCATTAATTGGCTAGAGAGCATCCAGTAGAGGTCAGTCAGGATAATGAAGGATTTCATGTTTATGCTATAGGCATAATGGTCAAATAAACTAGGGAGATTTAATCTAGAGAAGAAAACACTTGAGTCAGGGTTTGAGGGGATGGTTATGATAACCATGTTTAAGTATTGGAAGGATTGTCACGTGAAAGAGAGATTAGACTTCTTCTCCCTAGGGCAAAATTAAGTGAAAGTTATTAAGAGCAATTAAATTATGAGGTTAGAAAAAACTTCACAATTATAGTCTTCCCAATGTGGAAGGGACTGACTCCCTAGGAGGCAGTGAATTTCCCCTTCCTGGAGTCTCTTCAAGCAAAGGCTGGATATCTTGAGTATATTGAAGAAGAGATTCTACTACAGGTTGGACTAAATGGTCTGAGGTCCCCTCTAATTCTGAATGTTATGTGATCCTCTAATTAGGTTTCTGATTGGGATAATCTGTTTATCTGAACTAAGTTTATCTATCTCCATTTATATTGTTGAAAAAAAAATTGTTTCATTTTTGTAAGTACATTCACAGTTCATAAATCTTTTTTTTGGTCAGGACCATAACTTGAATTAATATTTGCATATTGATGCTTATAATAAAAGCATAAGCATTACCTAATCTTACAAATAACTGTTGCATAATAGAACTGCAAACAAGACCTCAATAATAGAGTTATTATTCCCAGTAAGACTTTTTCCCATTTTACATATGTAGAACTATAAAACTTGTAGATTTAACGTAATGGAGAATTTAATAAAAGTTATGTTATATATGATCTTTAGGACTAGTGACTACTTTTG